CCAAGTACATGGGCTCCTGCACCATCTGGGAGACCTGGAAGAAGCTCCTGGCTTCGAATGCCCAGCTCTACCCATTGCTGCCATTTGGGGAGCGACACAGAGAATGAAATACCTCTCTCTCTGTCTCTCCCCCTCTCTCTGTAACTCTGCCTTTCAAATAAACAAATCTTAGACCGAAAGAGACATTCATCTGCTGCTGGTTTACCCCCCAAATAGCTACAATGGCTGGGGCTGGGCCAGGCTGAAGCCAGGGGCCTGGAACTCCATCTGGGTCTCCCACATTGGTGCAGGGGCCCAAGTACCTGGGCCGTTCTTCACTGCCTTCCCAGGCACATTAAAGGAAGCTGCGTAGGAAGCAGAGCACCTGGGACCCAATCAGCGACGACACCAGCAGCACAGGTGGCAGCTTAACCCGCTGCTCCACAACGCCAGCCCCAAGCAGCAAACGTTTCAGCACCAGGCCCAGAAGGCATCTGCACTTGCGGCCTCACCTGGCAGATGGCAGTAACGTGCTGTGCAGGAGACAGGTGGGCTGTGGGACAGTGGCCGGGCCCTGGTGGCTGACTCGTCCAGAGCCAGGAATCTGTTCCAAGCATCAGTGACGACTTGCTGTGGGTGCCCAGCTCTGGGGATGGGGTCAGGGCTCACAGTCTGGTGGAGCAGACGGTACAGTAGGGCTGGGTAGGTGTGTGGGCTGCATGTGGCCAATATGATCCCTCCCCAAGGAGTCAGGAAAGGCATCCCAGGTGATGCACGGTGAGCATGTGCCAAAGGGGATTGCAAGGGACCAGCCATGTGGGAGGTAGGCGGAGGACCCCGTGGTGGGATTTCAGGCACAGAGCTGCGCATCCAAAGGGAGGCGCTGTCTCCCACGCTGAGTGTGTGTGTGTGTGTGTCGCCCTTCCCCCAGGCCGGCCTTACCGGGGCAAGCCCAGCGACATGTGGGCCCTGGGCGTGGTGCTCTTCACCATGCTCTACGGCCAGTTCCCCTTCTACGACAGCGTCCCACAGGAGCTCTTCCGCAAGATCAAGGCCGCAGAGTACACCATCCCGGAGTGAGTCCTGTGTCCCTGGGGGTGGGGAAACAGCCCCGTGGGCTGGGGTCCTGCGTGAGGTCTGGCCCCAGGCCACCCTGCTGAGCCTTCTCCTTCTCCACCTCCCTCTCCATGTCAGGGATGGGAGAGTCTCTGAGAACACCGTGTGTCTCATCCGAAAACTGCTGGTCCTTGACCCCCAGCAGCGCCTGGCTGCCGCTGACGTCCTGGAGGCCCTGAGCGCCATCATTGCTTCGTGGTGAGTGGGCAGGAGCTGGGCTGGGTGCAGGACAGACACGCAGCCTGCCATGAGGCAGAGTCAGGCGTCCAGAGTCTCCCCGCGGGCAGGATGGGGAGGGTGCAGGCAGAGCAGGGCACTCGCTGCACTTCAGGCCCATCAGAGGGTGGGCACTGCCTCACTGGGTTCTCACTGCCACCTGCGAAGGAAAAACTGAGGGCCAGAGAAGCAGGCGGTCGTGTCAGGCAGGTTAGTCTGACTGCAGCCGAGTCCGGGGCTGCCTGGAGCCACCTGGCTTGTGTCCACCCCACAGGCAGTCCCTGTCATCTCTGAGCGGGCCCTTGCAAGTGGTTCCTGACATCGATGACCAAATGAGCAACGCAGACAGCTCCCAGGAGGTGAGTGGGGAGGGCAGGCCTGGCAGGGGCAGAGGCGGTGGCTCCCTGTGGGTGCAGCCTCCTCCTCCCTCCTGCCCAGTGCAGCGGGGGCTGAGCGGCTGCCGGGTGGAAGCGAGCTCCTGGGAGGCCCCCCAGTGGACATGTGGGGTAGTCACCTTCCCCGCCCCTCTGACTCACTGGGCTCTCACTCCTTCCTGCCTTTCATTTTTCAGATGATTCATTCATCTGAGTTCCTGCTTCCCCTTCCCCGTTCCCTGCACTGGTGCAAGTGCTGAGCCTGGGACGGGGCAGAGACCCTAGGGTGTGCCCTGGGGAGCAGGGCAAGGGCCAGCCCCAGGCGAGACGCTGGGCCTGGCGTGGTGTAAGGACCTGCCTTCTCTGCCCACCTTGGACCTCTGCCACCAGCAGTGGGAAGGGCTGTGCCTGGGGCCCGGCAGAGCCACCTGGCCTCTGCGCGCTCCCTCCCTCCTCAGGCTGTTCAGTGGCTGCCCCAGGACAGCTCTGGCATCACACCAGGGGCTTGTGTGGCCTCTGTTCTTAACCCCATCTCAGAGAGCTAAGATGACTTTCCCGAAGTCTCACAGCCTCGTAGTGGAGCTAACCCTTGAGGATAGAGTGCTTAGCACCGGGGACCTGCAGTCTTCCTGTCCATCAGTGTCCCTGTGTGCTCAGTCTGGGCCTTGTGTGGCCGAGATAGATAGACGGTCATCCAGAGTGCCCCAGCCCACTTTTTTTTTTTTTTTTTTTTTTTTTTTTTTTGAAGATTTGTTTATTTGAAAGGCAGTTAAGGAGGGAGGTAGAAACAGAGCAAGATCTTCCATCTGCTGGTTCACTCTCCTGCAATGGCCAGGGCTGGACCAGGTCAAAGCCAGGAGCCTAGAGTTTCTTTTTTTTTTTTTTTTTTGACAGGCAGAGTGGACAGTGAGAGAGAGAGACAGAGAGAAAGGTCTTCCTTTGCCGTTGGTTCACCCTCCAATGGCCGCCACGGCTGGCGCACTGCGGCCAGCACACCGCGCTGATCCGATGGCAGGAGCCAGGAGCCAGGTGCTTTTCCTGGTCTCCCATGGCGTGCAGGGCCCAAGCACTTGGGCCATCCTCCACTGCACTCCCGGGCCACAGCAGAGAGCTGGCCTGGAAGAGGGGCAACCGGGACAGAATCCGGCGCCCCGACCGGGACTAGAACCCAGTGTGCCGGCGCCGCTAGGCAGAGGATTAGCCTAGTGAGCCGCGGCGCCAGCCTAAGAGCCTAGAGTTTCATCTGGGTCTCCCACATGGGTGGCAGGAGCCCAAGCACTTGGGCCATCTTCTGCTGTTTTCCCAGGTGCATTAGCAGGGAGCTGGATCCAAAGTAGAGCAGCCAGGACTCAAACCGGCACCCACAAGGGATGCTGGTGCTGCAGGTCATGGCTTAACCCACTGTGCCACAGTGCCGGCTCCCCCAACATGCTCTTACTCCCTGGCCTGTGTTGGTCCCTGAGGACCACGGGACCTTTGTGGTTTTTTGTTGTTGTTGTTTTTTTGTTTTTTGACAGGCAGAGTGGACAGTGAGAGAGAGAGACAGAGAGAAAGGTCTGAAAGGTCTTCCTTTGCTGTTGGTTCACTCTCCAATGGCCGCCGCGGCTGGTGCACTGCGGCCGGCGCACCGCGCTGATCCGATGGCAGGAGCCAGGTACTTATCCTGGTCTCCCATGGGGTGCAGGGCCCAAGCACTTGGGCCATCCTCCACTGCACTCCCTGGCCACAGCAGAGAGCTGGCCTGGAAGAGGGGCAACAGGGACAGAATCCGGCGCCCCGACCGGGACTAGAACCCCGTGTGCTGGCGCCACAAGGTGGAGGATTAGCCTAGTGAGCCGTGGCACTGGCTTCACAGGACCTTTGTGAAAGAGACACCTGCCTACCTCTGGGGAGAAAGCAAGCGTGACCCTTCCCGAGGTCGGAGAGTTAGGGAGGACTCTGGGGCAGGCCAGGTGTGTGCCATAGCTGCCACCTGCTATAGCCACACCCAGGGTGGCCAGCAAGACCTGGAGAGCACCAGGGACCCACACTCAGCCCCTCCCAGATAGACTGAGGTTGTGGATGCTGGGGGAGGGTGGGGGAGCCACAGGAGCCAGGCTGCTCAGCACTCACCGCGCCGTCTCCACTGCTTTCTGTGTCTCGCCCCGTCTGGGCCCCACAGGCGAAGGTGACGGAGGAGTGCTCCCAGTACGAGTTTGAGAACTACATGCGGCAGCAGCTGCTGCTGGCCGAGGAGAAGAGCTGCATCCACGAGGCCCGGAGCTGGGTGCCCAAGCGGCAGCTGGGCAGCGTGCCCCCCGTGCGGCGGCTGGGCCACGACGCGCAGCCCATGAGCTCCCTGGACACAGCCATCCTGGCACAGCGCTACCTGCGCAAGTAGCAGCCTCAGCAGGGGCGTCAGCACCAACACCACCTCTTGTGCCGCAGCCGAAGGCCTGGCTGGCGGGCTGGATCCTAGCATGCTGGACTGCCCCAGGTTGCAGTGGGGACGGGGCAAGGCCGGGGACAGCCCAGGCCACACGTGTGGTCAGCAGAGGTACCACGAAGCTACCTTTTGGAATGATTGCCTGATTGTTTGGTTTTTTTTAATCTGAGAAGCCTAGATAACTAATCTGCTTTTAATCATGACGTTTTAATCTACCTCTGTCTCTGTAACCATGCTGTCTCTGGACTGAGTCAGAGCAAGGAGGAGCATACCACCCGCCCCGCCGCGGTCCAGACAGCGGACCGCGCAGCCGCGGGCTGGCTCCCCACACCCAGCCCCTCCCCGGCTGTCGCCACCCCCCCCCCAGGGCCCTCAGTCCAGGCTTTGGAAAATCTTCACCTCATCTTAAGCTGAATTCAAATATATTTATTTTTTTACTGAAACCAATTTCCCGTCTCCAGGTGGCTGGGCCCATGGACGCCAGGGGGTCACGGCCGCCCGGGCTCCCCTTCTTGCCAGCCCCTGTGCCCCTGCAGCCCGTCAGTCCTCTGCTGGCGGTGATGGGGAGGCCTTCCCAGCCTCGGCTCTGTCTCCCACCTTGGGAGTCACTGAGGTGCCGGACACACGCATTAACCCTGGCTTCCTTCTCCCTCCTTCGCTGTGGTACCGAGCTGACGTGGGCACACGCAGGAGGGCTGCTTGGTGGCCAGGCGGGGGCCGACCCTGCGCCTGGCGTGACCAGGTGGCCCTGCTTGCGTTCCTCTCGTTCCCCAACCGCACCTGCGGTCACAGAATGGCCAGGCCTCTCCCCTCTGGCCCTGGCCTCCGTGGGGTGGGGGACCCTGCCCCGCCTGGCCTGGGAACAGCACTGCTGCCCTTTTTGAGCCGAGACTCTGAAGTGATGCCCGTCTTGCCAGAAACGCTGTTCTCACCAGGATACCTACCCTGTGCACGGGGCCTGGGCCCCCAAGTGTCCCCTCTGGCCTTTCCTTGCTCCCCAGTGGCTAGGTGACCGAATTTCCCAGATTGTGAGCTCCCTCCCTCCCCCCAAAAGCTGACTCACTGTGAGTGACCTTGGGCAAGTTCCCAAACCTCCTTGTGCCTCAGTTTCCCCATCTGGAAAAAATGGGGCCACCTCTTGCCAGCAGTAGCAGGGCCGCCCATGCCCCTTCCCCCCCCCACCCCGTGCCCCCATCCAGCACTTGGGCACCTCGTGCCTCTGCCTCAGTGGGCCCTCGGGAGCCCACCTGAGCCCAGCACTTTCCCTGCCCGCCAGACTCTGCCTCCGGCTCAGCGTCAGCTGCTGCAAGCCAGGGTGTGGTGCGGTGGGGTGGGGATGCCCCCTTTTCTATATTTATTTCATGAAAGTCTCCCAAGGGAGCACAGGCGCAGTCGGTCCAGGGTCAGAGGCAGGGTCGTCCCGGCAGAGCCCCTGCCCAGGGCCACCCAGGCACCCTGGGCTGATTCCCACGTGTGGTCTTTCCTGACCTCTTCAAAGCAATATCCTTGGGTCCGCATAGCCCTGGCAGACCGGCCCGCCCACGGTCAGCCCAGGGGCCTGATCACGATTCTGGCGAAGCAAAGGAGAGCTTGGGTCTGCCCTCGCTGGGTGCCACACGCTGAGAGAAGTCCTGTTGTAAAGACACAACAAAATGGAAAAAGTCACAAAAAAGTTTGTATAAAGACATATTTTTGTACTACATGGGGACTCTTCCTGCATGTCAGCAATAAAACTTCCTGATCTGGAGCCATGGGCCGTGTCGTCTGTTCTTGCCCTCCCTGCCTCTCCCATCCCAGCCTGGCAGCGCAGTCCCCAGCTCAGGTTCCCATAGCTCCTAGCCCTGCCAGCACACCACCCTGCCAGCAGGTGGCACCAGCCTCCTGGTCTTGACCTTGGGAGGAAGCCAGGACTTCCCAGCAAGCTCCCAACCCTCATCAAGTACCCAAAGCAAGACTCCTGCTTGGCTGCATGTGGCAACCAGGGCCACTGTGGCTGGAAGAATGTGGATCCCCCCTCTAGCTAGCCAGACTGCCCACCTGCCCAGCCAGCGCAGCTGGGGTCAGGAGAGGGCCAGGCCAGGCCTTTTCCTGTACCACCCGCCCCTTCCCTCCTGCCCCATAGGAAGCCAAGCGGGGTCTTCCTTCCTTTCTTCTTTCCTTCCTTCCTCTGCCTAAATTTAGACTTTGCGAGTGCACATCCAGAGCATTGAAGCCAGAAGCAGGCTAGCCCCTCCCCCAGCACGGCAGACCCACAGAGTTCATGAGCCAGTGCCCAAGCCCAGGTCCCAAAGGAGCAGAAATCCATGCGGGCAGAGCCCTTCCCAGGCAAGGATCCAACCTCAAGAGGGGTGGCTCCTCTCCAAGAAGAAAGAGGCCTGGTTCTTAAACAGTGCTCCAGAGCGGGCCTCAGCCCGCCCTCCATCCACGTTGCCCTGGTGGCCAGCCTCCACGTGAAGCCTGCCCACTCAGTACCTGTCCCAGTACTGGCCCTCAGGCTCTGCCTGCCACTTCCCTGGGCAGCGTCTCCATTTGCAGCCTTGTGGGCGGGCGTCTCCCAGGCAGCCACGCCATCAGGCTTCCATCCAGCCACACAAGGTGACGACTTCCACACCGGCAGGGATTCGTGGTGCTCACACGTGGTCCTCAGCAGGGCCTTGCACACAGCTGGCAGCTGCAGGCCATGGGATTCACTGACCTTGTCCTGCTCGTCTTCCCCGAGTTTTCACTGGGAGCCCAGGAAGCAAAGTGGAGGGATGTGTCAGGAAGATGGGTACAGTCGGTGTGAGCACACGGAGACTGTGACCACCCCGGGCCCTCATCTCCCCTCCTGGTCTCCCCCCTCCACTCATGCCATAGTCCAGGTGCCACACGGCAGCCAGAGTGAGCTTTTCAAACCTCAAATGGTGTCCCTCCTCTTAGCACTCTTGGACAGCACCCATCTCATACAGGAGCCATCCAGAGTCCTGGGGCCGGCCCTCGGCATGGAGGTGGAGACGCCCTCCGCCCTCATCGGAGTGCCTGGCTTCAAGTCCCAGCTCTGCTTCTGATACCAGCTTCCTAGTGCGCACCCAAGGAGGCAGCAGCTGATGGTCCTAAGTCTTGGGTCCCTGCCACCCATGTGGGAGACAGAGACTGAGTTCCCAGTGTGACTTTGGCCTGGCCTAGCCCTGGTTGTTGCAAGCATTTGGGGAGTGAACCAGCAGATCTTTCTCTCCCTAACAATTTTAAAAAGCTCTACACCATGAGGCTCCACGCCTGGCTACCTCCCACGCCTCTCAGCCCCTCGTTCCTCACACTCTGCTCCTGAAGGAACCTCATACTCTGCTCCTGAACGAACCACGTGTGCTTCCACCCCCTGGCCTTGCACTGCCCCTTCTTGCGGGGAAGGCTCTTCCCAGATGTTGGCATGCTCCCCCCACCTGTCACCTGCCGCCCATCTGCTCACGTCGCCTCAGAGGCCTCCTCTTACCATGCCCACCTGGTCGTCTCGAATCCCTTTCTCCGTTGTTTCCTCCACCGTGCTGATCACAAACAGACATGCCCAGGCCATCTCCGTCCCCCTGACTCACATGTGGACATCCGTGGATGAGGCCGGCGTGCTTGCTTTGCGCTGTGAACTCAGGATGTGGACACAGTGCCTGGGGGAGGCTGCTGGCACGTAGAAGGCGAGGGCCGAGGGCTCTGGGCAACCCTGTGAGGCAGGCAGACCCTCTGTCTTGCACAACACACTGAGACTTATTTATAACTCTCAGTGAAGAACCTCCCCCGGGACCAGCACTGTGGCGTCGTAGGCTAAGCCTCTGCCTCAGGCACTGGCATCCCCGGTTGCTCCTCTTCCGAACCAGCTCTGCTGTGGCCTGGGAAAGCAGTGGAAGATGGCCCAAGTCCTTGGGCCCCTGCACCCACATGGGAGACCCGGAGGAAGCTCCTGGCTCCTGGCTTTGGATCAGCCCAGCTCTGGCCATTGCAGCCATATGGAAGATCTCTCTGCCTCTCTCTAATTGTGCCTTTCAAATAAATCAATAAATCATATATATATATATATATATATATGGGTGTCCCACACACTGGGGCACATGCCCCTCAATGCACTGTCATTCCAGCCCAGCCACAGCACACGTCACTGCTCCTGTGGACATGCCAACACGCTCTCAGCAGTTCACAAACAGCTGGTCACACATGCACCCTGAACAAAGAGGGACACTGCCCACGAAAACCCACCCCAGTCAAGCAGTGCTGCAATACCGCCCAAGTCAGGGGCTCAGTTCTGGCCTTATCTTCACCTGCCAGCCCGAGGTCACACGGCGGCTGGTCACACCCCGTTCCCTGCGCTCAGTGCAGGTGCCTAGGGCTCTGGCCTCATACTGACTTCTCTGCCCCCTGCTGCCTTGCCCAGCTGACACACCTATTAAACCTGTCTATGGGTATAGGACTTGGGGTTCCACCTGCCTCTCTGCCACCACCGACTTGGTACCTACGGAAACCTCAAATCCAGCACCTCTGACTCCCGCAAAAGTCCACTTCCTCCTGTGGGCTTCCCCCAGGTGCCCAGCCCTTGACTCCCTTCTCATGTCCATGCCCTGTGCAGGAACTCCCTTCGGAAAACAGCCTGAATCTGCCCCCTTCTACCCCCTCCACAGCCGCTCCAGGCCTGGACAGGAGCCACCTGCCCGCTGCACACCCTGCTTCCGCTCTTGCTCCCCTGCGGCGCCCCACCCCCACCCCAGGCTGAGCCACCCCCCAGATCTTCCCCAAGTGCTTGCTCCTAGGCGTGGCCCACAAGGGCTCACCTGTCACTCCCCTGCTGCCACACCAGTCCCATGCCCCAGCAGCCTCCTACCCTGGGTGCCTTGCCCCTGCTCAGCTCCCTGCCCCCACCCAGACCAGGGCCGCGGAGCTGCCCCATGCTCTCCACCACAATGCCCCTGTCCCTTCAGCCTCGGAGCACTCCCCTGCCCTGAAATGAGGTTTGTCTGCTCCGGTCACTGTCACATCCCCATTCCTAGGAAGTGCAAGGGACCTGCGCTCAGCATGTGATGGCGAGCGGGCTGCTCTCACGATTTATACTAGGATGTGCCCAGCCCCACGAGAATACTCAGGCAGATGGACCACAGACGCAGACACGGACATGGCAGGACACCTCCGTGCTAGCTCACAGCACTCGCAGCAGCCTGTCCCCTCCCATCCTGCGCCAGTCGCTCCCGCTCTTTCCCTGTCTAAATCTGCCCCCTACTTGAACCCAGTCAGGACAGAGGGAGTGGGGGGTCTCCAGCCTGGACAGGGAGGGGGTCGCTGCCCCACGGGCCTCAGGCAGCGCCTTCAGCTATGTCTGCAATTTCCTCTCCCCCTTCCTCCCCTCCTCCTCTAAGGCTCCCGCCAAGAAGGCCTCCCCCTCACCCCAGCTCCAGCAGAGAGAGGGGGGCTGGGAGACCAGGCAGGAGGAGACCCCATCCGGATAACACATTGCATGCAGCAGCCCGGAGCCCAGGTGGAAAGGCACGCGTGTGCCCAGGCAGGCTCAGCCAGGGAGAAACTTCACGTTCTGCTCCAAGCCGCTTCGGCTCCGTGCAGAGCAGCACATGCGCAAGCGCACACGGAGAGGCCCCCCGCTGGGGTCTGCAAGGCTGGCCTGGGCCTGGCTCCACACCGAGTTCAACAATCATTAACCCTGCGACCAGACCAGAGCTCCGCCAGCTGGCCGCACTCAGGCCTGGGCCCTGGGAGGAGGGGCTGAGGGTCTTGGGGTGCTGGCAACCTCTGGGAGACCCGGGGAGGAAGGGCATGCTGCCCCTGGCCGAGGCTGCTCTGGGACCCCCCTCCAGGGGGCCTCCCGGGAGGGGAGGCAGGGTACAGGCAAATGATCTAGAGCCCCAGCTCCAGGGCCAGCGAGCGCTGGGCTCAGATCCTGACCCTTTGGTGGGGTTAATCTCTGGGACTCTGCAGAGCGGGGTTAATGGTACCGCAGCCACAGGGTGGCTCCTAGGACCAGATGGAGGAACACGGTTAGCTCATGGCCTGGCACCTGGACGGGACCCCATCACTACTGCTGTTGTCATTCGGAGCCGGGGGCGGTCCCTGCCAGGGCCTCCCCCGCGGCTTCCTGTTGGGGGAGCGGCCGGCCAGCTCCCCTCCGTGGTGGCCGCCCCGCTCCCCTTCCTCTGCCGCACTTTCCTCCGCCTCCCCGCCCCGCCCCTCCTCAATCCTCCGAGGAAACTTTCCGCCCGCTGGTCCCTCGGCCCGAGTCCGGCCCGCGCTGCCGCCGCCTGGGAGCCGAGCCGGGCGGGCGGGGCGGCCGGGACCGGACTGGGCGGGCGCGGCTGGGCCCCGGGTGTATGCGGCCGCCGGACGCGCGGGGCCGGGCAGCCCGGGTGGCAGGGCGCTGACGGTGAGTGAGCTGGGCCTGTGGGCCCGCGCGGCCCCGCGAGACGGGCGAGGGAAGGGGCTTCCCCTCTCCGGAGCGCGCCGAGGGGGTGGCGGAGGTCGTCGCGCTCAGGGTGGGAATCCGCGCGGGCGCCAAGTCCCTGCGGCCAGCTCCGCAGCTCCCCGGGCTGGGGAAGGATCCCCCGGACAGGGCCCAGGTCTGCAACCAAGTTAGGAAACCGCGCACTCCAGGGTGGGACTTGGGGCCGCTCCTCCGGGGATAGGGGCAGCCCGAGGGGGCGGCGGGCGCGGGCCTGGGCCAGCTCCGTGGCTGACCCGCCGACCTCGCAGACTGACAAGGGAGCTGCCCCTCGGAGCAGCATGGACGCGCCCCGAAGGGACATGGAGCTGCTGAGCAACAGCCTGGCGGCCTACGCGCACATCCGCGGTGAGCCCGCGCCCCTTCCCGCCCCCGGTGCCCCTGGCCTGCTCCCAGCCTCCCTGCCTCCCTGCCCGACAGCGGCTCCACGTCGGGGTGCCAGCCTGGCCCTCCGTGACCTCTGCCCTCTGCCCCCAGCTAACCCTGAGAGCTTCGGCCTCTACTTCGTGCTGGGTGTGTGCTTCGGCCTGCTGCTGACCCTGTGCCTCCTGGTCATCAGCATCTCCTGTGCGCCCCGTTCGCGCTCGCGCCCGCGGGGCCCCGCGCTGCGCGGCGACCCCCGCAGCAGCACCCTGGAGCCCGGGGACGACGACGAGGAAGAGGACGAAGAGGACACCGTCACACGGCTGGGCGCCGACGACGAGCTGCAGGGCCCCGAGCTGTCGCCGGAGCCCGATGGGCCCCTCAGCGTCAACGTCTTCACGTCGGCCGAGGAGCTGGAGCGCGCGCAGCGGCTGGAGGAGCGCGAGCGGATCCTGCGCGAGATCTGGCGCACGGGGCAGCCGGACCTGCTGGGCAGCGGCACGCTGGGGCCCGGCTCGTCGGGCACGGGCACGCTGGGCCGCGTCCATTATTACTGACGGGCTGGAGCCCCGAGCGTTGGACACGTCAAGGGAGCCCACAGCTGCCCCAGGACCTTGGGACTCTCTTGGCTCCCACGCTTCCCTGGTGCTACTGGGCGTAGATGGCCAACCACCGAGGTCGCCCTTCCCCGGTTCTGCCCGAGGTCCCTGGGGCGGAGGGGGGCGGGGGTCAGGAGGCAGGGCCCCCAGCCCCTCTAAGGGAACTGAAAAGGCAGAGGCAAAGTGACCAATGAAGGCTGCATTCTCAGTGACTGGGTCTGCTTGTGTTACCCCTGCTGCCGGCGGTCTCCAGGCTTCTGCCAAGCTGGGAGCCCAGGGTGGAGACACACCACTCCCACCCTGGCTCCCCTCAGCACGCGTTTGTGTCCACTTCACCGATGGACAGGAGCGCACTCCTCTGCAGCCGCGCGTCGCCACCCTACCCATTCCTCACACATGCATTCTTTCCCAGCAGACGGCCAGGCACACGTCTCCGTGTCCCCCACTGCCCTGGCTTCACGGCCCGACATTGACGCTAGGTACTGCCAAGCCCCCGGGTAGCCATGCGTGCCTGAACCGGGGTGGCGGAGCTTGCGTCTGAGCCGGGCTGTGCGTGCCCATGGGCCGCCTGGGAGGAGCCCCGGCTCCCGAGCCCTGCGCTCCGCCCCGCCCCCGGCGCGCAGCTGGATTCCGGAATCTGGGCCTGCGGGCAGAGCCCGACCCCGCCTGGGCCCCTCCTGCCCTCCAAGTCTCCAGTGTGGGGATGGAGTCCGAAGGAGACACCAACCCCCGCCCTCCCCCCCCCCACCGCCCGCTACCATCCGGTGGATAAAAATAGCCGCGCGCAGGCCTTGGGAACAGTAATGGGAGCCACATGTTGGCCAGATGTGCCCGCGAGAGGCCGCCAGGAATGCGCAGGGCCGCCCGCCCCGCCCCCGCACGAACCAGGAGGGCACGGCGCACGTACGAGGCACTTTACTTTCTTGCGTTTCCCCAAGTTGTGTGCAAGGACGTGGGTGGCCCGAGCCAGCCGTCGCTCAGGTCGGCCGGCGCGCCCGCCCAGCCCCGCCCTCAGTGCGTCTGCGTCTGCGTCTGCGCGTGTCTGGAGTCCTGGGCCGGGGACTTCTGGCTCCTCCGCAGCATCTGAACCTGGTCAGGAGAGGGCGTCAGGGGAGAGCCAGCAGCCAGCGCCTCCCCCGCAGCCACGCCCCACCCACCTCCAGCCAGCGGCGCTTCTCCCTCTCGCTCTTGAGCTCCTCCCAGATGTCGGTCATTTTCCTCCTGCAGACGCGACCGGCCGAAGTGAGGGCGTGGGGCGGGCCCCTTCCCCCCCACCACATCCCCGCCCCCGCCGTGGGCCTGCCCGCTTACTCCAGCTGCGCCCCCATCTGCTGCAGCGCCGTCCGTAGCGACTGCACCTCGTCCTTTAGCGTCACCAGGTCGCCTCTGTCACGCCCGCCCTCCGGGGGGTGGACGGTGGGAGTCTCTTGGGGGTCTGGAGTCTGCTGGCTAGGATGTGGGCGCTGGCGGGCAGGAGCTGCCTCTTCCTCCTGCCGCTGCGGAGCCAGCTGCTCTTTGGGGGGCACTTCCTCCTGCAGTGTGCTCTCCACTAGCAGGGCTGTGGCCTCTTCTGGGGGGCGGGCCTTCTCTGGGGCAGGCATGGGCCCTGTCTGGGGCTGGGGCTCAGACCCCCGCGAGGAGTCGCCGTCCCTTTTACCCAGGGGTCTCTCTGAGCACTGGGCGGGGGGTGAGGGTTCGTCTGGCATGTGGGCCATCTCCTGGGATTCGGGCTCCTTGGCCACAAGGCTCTTGACCCACAGGGCTTCCTCGGGAGAGAAGTGGTGTAACTGAGGGTGGGCTCCCGGGGAGATGACCACCTCGGAAAGCACCTGCTCCAGGGTGGGGGCCTCATCCCCCTGAGCGGCCACCGGGTCAGGGGCTTCCTGTTCAGGTGGGACTTCTGTAGCAGGGACATCATCTGCAGGAAAGACCACCTCTGGAGAAGAGGCCTCATCCAGGGCTGGGGTCTGTTCTGGGGTGGGGTCCCCCAGAGTCCCAGTCTCCTCTGGGGTAGGGGTCTGATCTTCCTGAGGCAGGGTCTGGGCTGGGCTGGAGGCTTTGTCAGCAGCCAGGATCCTCTCTGGGCTGGGGTTGTCAGGGGCAGGGGCCTGGTCCTCCTGGGGCAGGGTCTTGTCTGGCTCAGGGACTTGGTCAGGAGCTGGCATTTTCTCTGGGCTTGGGGTCTTCTCTGGGGTGGCATTCTTGTCCGGTGTGGGGGTTCTAGTCATCGCAGGGGCCTTTGCCAGACTGCTCCGCTCCTCCCCCTGTGGGGAAGAGGTGAGGTTTTAGCTGGGGGCTTGGATACCGTGAAGGTTTGAGTCTTTGTCCCCTTGGTCTGGGATCCTGCACCTCTGCACCCCATACCTCTGGGACCAGTCCTGGCCAGTAACCCACGGTCCTACACTCGGGCCCCTCACCTGACTGGATGCCGAGCGCTGCCGGGGAGGCTGGGTCTTGGATCGCTTCCTGCCAGGGCAGCTGGGACCGCCGCCAAGGAAGCTGCCGTTGGTGCCTAGGAGAGCAGAGCCGCAGGGACCCATGCCCACACTGACCCTCAGCACAAGCACCCTACCCCCGTCTTCCAGTTCTGCCCCACGGCGGGAAGACAGCCCTTACCGGACGCTCGGGAAGGGCGCTTCTGACTGTCCCCGCTGGCGGTCCAGGAGGGCCTGGAACACATCCTCATCAGGCCTGGGGTGGGGGCCGGGGGGAGCCTTTCTCTGTACCCTCCCCCCTCCCCAACCACCCTGCTCCTCACTTGGTTTTGCTGGGCCCAGGGGGGCTGGTCACTGGCTTCTTGACCATAGGCAGGAATGTCTTGGGCACCAGCTTCTTTGGCTCCTTAACAGGAGCTGGGAGGAGAGAGGTGAAAATTAGTATTTACTTGAAAGACACAGATCTCCCATTTGCTGGCTTATCATCAAAATGCACCCCGAATCCAATGATTCGCCACTGTCTCCTCCACCAAGTACTATGCAAAGAGGCCCCGCCACCTGCACCAGTTCTAAAGTTTGAGTGACTTAGTGTGTGCAGGTGCTGGGAAGCCCTCCAACCTGGCTGCGGCTGCACCCACCCTGCCTATGGGATACTCTTTCCACAGCAGCCACCGTGAGCCCACATTCTGTCGGGAGAGCAGACATAAACCAAACTGGGAAAAGGGGTAGTACGTGAGTGATATGACGTGTTTCCGATGAAGGATAAGCAGGAGACAGACAACTTGAAACAAGCAGAGAAAGCCCCACGTAAGGGATGTCAGGGTGAGCACCTGCAGGTCGTCACAGGGACACACGTATCCACAGACACATAAGCAGCCGCTCGCAAATGGCCTGACACTTAGACACACACACAACTCCACACAGGCTCACACCCAAACCCGTTGCCAGTGTTGTACTGTAGTGGCTAAGGGCATGCATTCTGCAGCAGACACCGGGCTTGGAGTCCCAGCTCCACCCCTTGCTAGCTGTGTGACAAGTGGGACAAGTAACCTCTCTGTGTCCCAGTGTCCTTACCCACCACACAGGGAAAGTAACAACACACACCTGGGAGGGCTGCCGTAAGGTCTGCGGGACTTAACCTGTGCAAGGTGACTCTTGGGCAAGTACTGAAAGCCCCATCAAAGGTTTTTTTTGTTTGTTTGTTTAGCAGAGCGGACAGTGAGCGAGAGAGAGAGAGAGAAAGGTCTTCCTTTTCCATTGGTTCACCCACCAATGGCCACTGTGGCCAGCGCACCGCGCTGATCCAAAGCCAGAAGCCAGGGGCCTCTCCTGGTCTCCCATGTGGGTGCAGGGCCCAAGCACTTGTGCCATCCTCCACTGCACTCCCGGGCCACAGTAGAGAGCTGGACTGGAAGAGGAGCAACCGGGACTAGAACTCAGGGTGCCGTCGCCGCAGGCAGAGGATTAGCCTATTGAGCCAAGGCGCTGGCCAAGCCCAATCAATTTTTTTTTTAATTTTTTTTTTTTTTGATAGGCAGAGTGGACAGTGAGAGAGAGAGAGAGAAAGGTCTTCCTTTGCCGTTGGTTCACCCTCCAATGGCTGCCACGCTGCGGCCAGCATACCGCGCTGATCCGATGGCAGGAGCCAGGTACTTCTCCTGGTCTCCCATGGGGTGCAGGGCCCAAGCACTTGTGCCATCCTCCACTGCACTCCCTGGCCACAGCAGAGAGCTGGCCTGGAAGAGGGGCAACCGGGACAGAATCTGGCGCCCCAACCGGGACTAGAACCCGGTGTGCCAGTGCCGCAAGGCAGAGGATTAGCCTAGTGAGCTGAGGTGCTGGCCCCCAATCAATGTTAATGAGAATTCTGCGCCAGAGTGCAACTGTATCCTGCTTAGGACACGCTCTGGCCACTCTTGGCCTTAAAAGAGGTAAATCTCAGAAAAAGGGAAACGAAGGCCAGAAAGGTGGCAAGAGGCAGTTCTGCACTGTGGCTGCTGAGCCTGGGACCTGTGACAGAGCTGGGGTGCCAGGCTCTGCTCCCTTGGCCTGCTGCAAGCCAAAGCTCGGTCACCACACAGCGGTGCCACCCTTGTACGGACGCCCTTCCTCGGGAGGGCTGAGCAGTCTGGTAGTTGGTGTCCTCTCCAGAGAAGGGCTTCCCCGACTAAGGCTGCCAAGACGCCCCCAGGCCAGGGTCAACTCGTGAGCTCATAAACAGATCATAAAACACTGGAGAAGGCGAGTCCTGGACAGTGCACGTCGGCACACAGCACCCCATGGACACTGAGGTTGTCAGGCAGAAAACGCAGAACAACTATGTGCAAAACATCTGAAGGAATGAAGGATGCACGCGCCACTAAGGGACCACCAGAAATCAACAGGCAGGGGCTGGCACTGTGGCACAAAGGTTTAAAGCCCCAGCCTGCAGTGCCGGCATCCCATATGGGCGCCAGTTCAAGTCCTGGCTGCTCCTCTTCTGATCCAGCTTCCCTGCTACTGTGCCTGCGAAAGCAGTGGAGGATGGCCCAAGTCCTTGGGCCCCTGAACTCACTCTGGGAGATCCAGAAGAAGCTCCTGGCACCTAGCTTCGGATCAACTCAGCTCCAGCCATTGTGGCCATTTGGGGAGTGAACCAGAGGATGGAAGACTCTCTCTCTTACACTCTCTCTCTCTCTGTCTTTACCTCTCTCTGTGACTCTTTCAAATAAATAATATAAATCTTGTAAAAAAAATCAACAGGCAGATCTGGAAAAACAGTCAAAGAAGAAAACTACTAGAGTTGAAAATGGCATTCTTAAAAAGAAAAACACAATGGGGCCAGTTCAGTGGTGCCAGCAACCCATATGGGTACCAGTTGTCCAGGTTTCTCCACTTCCAATCCAGCTCCCTGCTAATGGCCTGGGAAGGCAGCAGAAGATGGCCCAGGTGTCTGGGCCCCTGCACCCATGTGGGAGACCAGGATGAAGCTCTGACTCCTGGCTTCAGCCTGGACCAGTCCCGGCCATTGCAGCCATCTGAGGAGTGAACCAGTAGATGGAAAACCTCTCTCTGTCTCTCCCTCTCTCTCTGTAACTCTTTCAAGCAAGTAAATAAATCATTAAAATTAAAAAAAAAAAAAAGCCTGGGTTCAGAGCCCCAGCTCTGTCTCCAATTCCACTTTCCTTTTAATGTGCACACTAGGAGGTGGTAGTGATGGCTCAAGTTCTAGGGTCTCTGCCACCTATGAGAGAGACCCAGAGTGAGTTTCAGGCTCCAGGCTTTGGCATCACCAGCCTTGGCTATTGCAGGCATTTGAGGAGTGAATAAATAGAATATTTCTATTCTTATTCTCATTCTCTCTCTCTCTGCCTTTCAAATAAAATGAAAATAAATTTAAAAACATTTTTTTTGAAAAGTGGAAAAATAGTGGCCAGTGCTGTGCATAGCAGGTAAAGCCACTGCCTGCAGTGCCGGCATCCCATATGGGCACTGGTTGGTAACCTGGCTGCTCCACTTCTGATGCAGCTCCCTGCTATGGCCTGGGAAAGCAGTAGAGGATGGCCCAAGTCCTTGGGCCCCTGCACCCATGTGAGAAATGTGGAAACAGCTCCTGACTCCAGATCGGTGCAGCTCTGGCCATTGTGGAGCGAACCAGCAGACGGAAGATCTTCCTCTCTTTCCCTGTCTCTGCCTCTCTGTAACTCTGCCTTCCAAATAAATCTTGTTTTAAAAAACTGAAAAAATAGCATGGGCTGGAAGAAAAAATTTGTAAATCATGCATTGGATTAGGGATTTATTATGTTAAATATATAAAGAACTTTAACTCCATAGTAAAAAGGCAACCCAATTTTAAAAAATGGGCAAAGAACCCAAATAGACATTTTTCTAAAAGAACATATACAAAGAGCCAACAAACATATGAAAGGGTGTTCAACACCATTAACCATGAGAAATGCAAATCAAAACAACAATAGGATACCTTATGCCCACCAGATAAAAACAAATATCCGTGCAAATGTAGAGCAACTGCCAGCTGCATCCACTGCTGGTGGAAACAAAACGGTGCAGCCACTTTGGAAAACAGCCCGATTGTTCCTCCCAAAGTTAAACACAGCAGTGGCATATAACCTAGCGATTCCAAGAGAAACGGAAGCATGTCCATTCAGAATCATGTATTTGAATGTTCACAGTGACATTATGCATAATAGCCAAGAAGTGGAAACCAACCAAACGTCCATCAATGAATGAATGGATAAAAATAACATGCTGCATTCATCCAAAAAGAAATGAACTAAATACACGGCACAGAATGAATGAACCTTGAAGACAGGAAGTGAAAGAAGTCCATTACGAAAGTCCACGTGTTGTAAGATTCCATTCACATGAAATGTAGGTGAATCTGTCAAGACATCGTAGATCTGCTCGCCCAGGGCTGCTGGGGAGACAGGGAGGCAGGAGATGGCTAAAGGCTAGGGAGTTTCTTTTTGGGGTGATGAAAATGTTCAAAAATTGATTGTACTGACTTTACACGACTCAATATATACCAAACATCACCGTACATTAAGTGGGTTGTATGGTGCATGATACATAAATTACACCACCATTTCGTGTTTCCGCCAGCAGTGAATGCAGCTTCCAGTTTCTCTACAAAAAGCCAGACCTGATCCACAGACCATAACTGGCTGATTGTCAGAAAAAATTTTAAAAGACAAGATGTAACGACATGCTGTAAGTTGAGAGTCAAAAGAGACATATTGTAAAGACAGTAACCATAAAGAGAGATGCAGTGGCTTTAATAGCAGACACAGCAAACGTTAAGACAAGTTGCTAGAGGGGAAGGAGGACAGGTTCCGCTGACGGACACAGTGCAGCACAGTGAGAAATGTGGATGTGCCCGCAACAAAGCCTCAAAACCCACGAAGCAGACACTGAGAGACCTGAAAGGAGCAACTAACGATTCAATAATAGCTGGAGATTCTGGGGGTAAAGCTGTCACCTGCAGCACCAGCACCCCGTATGGGCGCTGGTTCACGTCCCGGCTGCTCCACTTCCAATCCAGCTCCCTACTAATGGCCTGGGAAAAGCAGCAGAGGACGGTCCAAGTGTTTGGGTTCCGGCCTCCCACATGGGAAGCCTGGAAGAAGCTTCTGGCTCCTGGCTTCAGCCTAGCCCAGTTCCAGCCGTTGTGGCCATCTGGGGAACGAACCAGAGGATGGAAGATCTGTTTGTCTGTCTCTCTGTAATTCTGACTTTCAAATAAATAAATCCTGAAAACTTTTTACTGATTTATTTAACTGAAAGGCAGAGCAACAGAGATAGAGATTTCCATCCACTGGTTCACTCCCCAGATGGCCACAGCAGCCAGGTCTAGGCCAGCCTGGAACTCTGTCTGGGTCTCCCACATGGGTGTCAGGGGACCAAGCACTTGGGCCTCCGCCCACTGCGTTCCAGGTGCATTAGCAGGGAGTGAATGGATTGGAAGTGGTGTAGCCGGGACTCGAACCAGCACTCTCGGATTAGGGTGGGCTGCTGCTGGTGCTGCAAGCAGCGGTTTATCCTGTGCACCACAATACCGGCCCCTACAATTTTAAATACAATAGAAAAACATTTTTAAAGTATTTGGTTATATTAACTGTCTGATGAGACTGGAAGAAAAAAAATTCAAAATGACAAAAGGACCACCTGCAAATATGACTGCGTGTAACAGGAGTAAGAGAGACCACTATGAACAACAATGGAAATAATCAAAAAACAGATACAATGGACACAGACTATACCTCACCCACACTCAAGAATTCTGGCCTGACTTTTCTATGACTTTTAGAGAAACTGAAAACATAGCTTAAAATCTTCCCATAATGACAAAAGCAGGGCCAGATGAATTTACAGACAACTGTTACTGGCTTTCAAAGGAAGATGATTCCTATCTTACCTAAGATCTACCAGATCATTAAAAATAACCGAGGGGCCAGATTGATATTGGTAATCAGATGAGCACGGTACAAATACATGCAGATTTAAAGCAAAGAATATTGGGAAAGAATTCCGATAGCATAGGAACTGATAACAAACACAACCAAGCTGGATTTATCCAAGGAATGCGAGAGCAGATTAGGAAATTCTACAGATTTCACCCACCACGTTGACAGATCAAAGGAAAAAACCCATAATCATTTCAAGATTCACATAAACAGAGAAAATTCAACCCTCATTCTTGATAGAAATTCTAGGTGGAAAGAGAAGGGACCTGACCTTGACAAAAAGATATCTACAGAAGACGTGAGCAAGCATCACTGTTAACTGAGAACACTAGAAGCATTTCACGAAAGAATCAGGACTTGATAATGATATTCAGTATTACTGCTTCTACTCAGTACTGTGTTACAGGTACCAGCTGCTATAATAAAACAGGAAAATAAACAAGGAGGGGCTGGCGCTGTGCTGCACGAGGGTAAGCCTCAGTCTGCAGCACAGGCATCCCATACAGGTGCCAGTTCGTGTCCCAACTGCTCCACTTCCGATCCAGCTCCCTGCTAAATGGCCTGGGAAAATAGGCAAAGATGGACTAAGTCCTTGGGTCCCTGCACCCATGTGGGAGACCAAGAGGAAGCTCCTGGCTTCCGTCTGGCCATTGAGGCCATTTGGGGAGTGAACCAGCGGATGGAAGACCTCTCTCTCTCTCTCTCTCTGCCTCTCAAAAAAATAAATAAATCTTAAAAAAGAAAAGAAAAAAGGCAGGAGTGGAAAGAATGCAGCCAAACTGTCGTCATCTAGAGAGGGCCCAACTGTTGTCACAGGAAATTTACCAGGAGCTACAGACAAACTATTGAAATAATAATTTTTATGGCTGGCTATGAAATCAATATAGGAAAATCAATGCATTTCTATATTCCTGCAATGATTAGAAGAATATGTAATCTTTTAAAAGACACAACAAAAACTCTGAGGTATCCAGGACTACCTAGGAATAATCCTTATAAAAATTGTGTAAAACTCACAAGCGGAAAATAAAATGATGTTGGAACTGATTGTTCATATAGAAAAGGGTGTAACAGGAACACTCATTTAAATCAATGCTACTTTGATGAAAGCAATTACATATGAAATGCAACACTTCAAAAGTGCTAAAGAAAATATAGCCAACTGTCTTTCTGAATTCGGGACAAGAAGGATTTTTTTAAACAAGAAACATCCTAACTATTGACTGCACTAAATTTAAGAACTTCTGTCCATATAAAAGAAAAAAGGCCACAAACTTCAATCAAATATTGGCAACATACAGGGCAGGTGTAGTGGCAAAGTGGGTTAAGCCACTACCTGAATGCCAGTCCGAGTTCTGGCTGCTCTGCTTACGGACCAGCACCTTGCTAATGGTCCTGGAAAAGCAGCAGAAGATGGCCCAAGTGCTTGGGCCCCTGCACCCATACAGGAGACCAGGATGAAGCTCCTGGCTTCGGCCTGGCCCAGCTTCAGCCACTGTAGCCATTTGGAGAGTGAACCAGTAGATGTAACATCTCTTTCTTTCTGTCTGTCCCTTTCTCTGTAAATAAAAATAAATAAATCCTAAAAACTTTTCTAGATTGATTTACTTATTTGAAAGGCAGAATTACAGACAGAGAGGGAGAGGAAGAGAGAGAGGCCTTCCATCTGCTGGCTCACTCCCCAAATGGCTGCAACAGCTGGAGCTGGGCCCACCCGAAGCCAGGAGCCAGGGGCTTCATCTGGGTCTCCTATGTGGAAGCAGGGGCCCAAGCACTTGGGCCATCTTCCACTGCTTTCCCAGGCCACAGCAGAGAGCTGGATCAAAAGTGGAGCAGCCGGGACTTGAACTGGCAACCATGTGGGATGCTGGCACTGCAGGCAGAGGCTTATCCTACTATGCCATTGCATTGGCCCTCCAAGAAAAAGTTGGAAGGAAAAAAGAAAAGATATCACCTGGCCTAAGTTTCCTTCCTTTTTATTTTTTTTTAAAGATTTATTTATTTAGTCATTTGAAAGTCAAAGTTACACAGAGAGAGGAGAGGCAGAGAGAGGTCTTCCATCCGATGGTTCACTCCCCAATTGGCTGCAATGGCCGGAGCTGTGCCAATCCGAAGCCAGGAGCCAAGAGCTTCTTTTGGGTCTCCCACACGGGTGCAGGGGCCCAAGGACTTGGGCCATCGTCTGCTGCTCTCCCAGGCCATAGCAGAGAGCTGGATTGGAAGTGGAGCAGCCGGATCTTGAACCAGCGCCCATATGGGATGCCGGCGCTTCAGGCCAAGGCATTAAGCTGCTGTGCCACAGCGCCGGCCCCCTGTTTCCTTCTATTACAGGAAGTCATTTGAAGAGTGAACCAGCAGATGGAAAATCTCTCTCTCTCTCTCTGTATCTCTTTCAAATAAAGTAAAAATAAATCTTTTAAAAAAGAAAATCAAAAATAAAACAAAATATTGGCAACATGTATACCCATAAAGAAGTGGTATCATGCGGCTGGCGCTGTTGTGTAGCGGGTAAAGCCAGTGCTGGCATCCTATGTGGGCACCAGTTTGAGTCCCGGCTGCTCCACTTCTGATCCAGCTCTCTGCTGTGGCCTGGGAAAGCAATAGAAGATGTCCCAAGTGCTTGGGTCCCTGCACCAGCATGGGAGACCCAGAAGAAGCTCCAACCATTGTGGCCAATTGGGGATGGAAGATATTCTCTCTCTCTCTCTCTCTCTCTCTCTCTCTGCCTTTCCTTCTCTCCATGTAACTCTTTCAAATAAATAAATCTTTTTTTTTTTTTAAAGAAGTGGCATTCAGAAAACAAGGAGACTTTATAATATGCATTTCCATAGTGTTTTCACACGTTGCATTCTCAAAGAACTCCTACAAAGTATTAGAAACCAGGGAAGTGCAAGGTAAGTTCACAATGAAATGCTGCTTTGTACCTTTGCAGATTCACAAAAAATGACATCTGCTGCCACCGGGTGATACAGGGCACGGAATTCAACTGGATCCCTCTCTGAGCCACTGAAGGCAGCGTGTGAAAGTGTAGTCACACAGATACCGAGCCGCACATTTCCCTGCTACGTGAAACAGATCTACACTCACCGACAGCCACATTCTCAAGGCGCGCCGAGAAACACGAACACACAGACACACCCAAACAGACCCACCACTTGATTCCCACACATTCCTGGGAGCTCCTGTGGGGGTGTACTGGAGCACTGGTGGGCTGTGGGTGTGCAGGGGCAACAGAACTGGTGGGTCTCCCAGGAGGCACCCCCAAATCCCAGGCACCCACCTCCCTGACACCCACCTGGTTCCCGAGATGCCACTTTGCATGGGCCCAGCTTCTTGACCTGTGCAGAAAAGGAGTATCAGACCCCAAAGAGCCGCCTTGCGTCTGGGTCCACCCTCCCTTGGGGGGACCCTCCAGCTGCCTCTCGTGAGCGCCACGATCTCCAAACCTTTCCAAAACTGCCTGCCCGCCACGGCGTGTGTGGCTCAGTACTCACGGCGGGCGGTGGGAGCACAAAGTTGTCTGGGAAAACTCCTCTTCTGCCTTGGCACTCTCCCAGCCACCACCCCTTATCCTCGGTGGTCTGGAAGGGGAGGTGAGCCGGGAGGTGAGCGAGTCCCCCAGACAACCCACATCCCAGGCCCCAGCCCTCCCCAACACCCTTCCCCAGCCCTCCCTACCTTCCTCAGTACTTTCACCTCGTCCCCCCTGTGCAGCGCCAACTCGTCCGGCGCCTCGGGCTGGTAGTCAAACAGGACCCTGTAGGTCTCAGGGTGGGAGACTGCGGGCAGGTCAGTCTCCTGGCGCCCAGGGCTCCCCCATCAGTCAGCCCCTCCCTCCTCCATCAGGCTAGCTGCTTCCCCCAGCCCCAAGTCAGAGTGGCTTGACAACGGGGGAGGGTGCTCACCTGTCCGCAGGTAGTCTGGAGGACTGTCATATGCCAGGCTACTCAGCTAGTGGGGTGGGCAGGGAGGACCAAGATGAGCCTCCGCCCACCCAGGAGGGACTCACTGCCCCTATGTCCCCTCTGACCCACTTTACCTTGGGAGGCCGCTGGGCACCAGGGCAGATGGAAGGCATGTCTGAGTTTCCAAGGCCTGGAGGCGGGGAAAGGGAGGTTAGGGGGGTTTGCTAATTCACAGGCAAGGTCGAGGGACAGGGTCAAAGGGGTCACAGTGTCAGGAGGTGTGAACCACAGGCTCATGCCACTGGGAGGGTCACTGGAGATCGCAGAGACTGGTCCCAGGGGTCTCGGGGTCACAGGGTCGAGGTCTCACTTGGGGGCCCACTGTCCAGCAACTCCACAAAGTTGGATGGGAAGGCTCCCAGCTGCCCGTTCTTCTTCCCCAGCCACCAGCCGTCCTCAATCTAGGGAGGAGGAGGACTTAGGGGCTTCTAGTTCGGCTCCAAGAGTCTGCAGAACTCTCCCACCCTCGGCTCTGCCCGGGGACCCCCTCCACCCTTGTCCCCTGGTTTCTGCTCTCAGCGCGGCTCGCCATTGCCATGGCCCCCACTCCACTCCACCCTCTGCCCGTCCTCGGGAGAGGTGCCCCGTCATCTTCCCAAACCCTCTCACCACCTCAAGCCTCACCTCCTTTATCATTTCCACAATCTCCCCAGTTTCCAGGGTCAGTTCGTCCGCCTGCTCCGGGCTGTAGCTGAAGTTCACTTTGCACCATTTTTGGGGGCCCGGAGATGCGGCGGGGTGATCTGGGTCATACGGGGAGTGAAGCGGCTTGAAAGGGACCCAGTCCGCTAAGCTGGGGGAGGGGCTGGTCGCAAGCGTTCACAGTGGGGGCCACTGGGCCCCGCCCTAGGGCGGTGCATTGTACTCCAGGGCCAATCAGAGACCGCAAAATGGCCTCACGGCCCCTCCCACAGCCGGGCCGGTCCCCGAGCCTCGCTGGCTCCACCTGTCCGCTGGCCTAGGTGCTTACCTCGGCGGCGCGCGCAGCGCGGTCTCGGCACTTCCCCGGTGGCCCTCAGTGTTTCTGGAATCTCCTGGGATTGAGAGCACCAGAAGGGGGTGCTCAGCTCCCAGGCGGTCCGCGCCGGGACCTGCAGCTCTCTCCAGCCCCAGCCTCACCTGTACCAGGCGCTTAGGGAAGAAGCCACAACGGCCATCCAGCTCTCCTTGGAGCCAGCCCGGTGCGGGCCCTTCGCGCACCTGCCGGACCACGTCCCCAGGTGCCAGACTCAATTCGTCCTCCTTCTGCGCGCGGTATCCGGCCAGGACCAGGACCTCTGTGGCGAATGACCGGGCGGGGTGCGGCTCAGAAGGGCCACGGCGGGCGCCTCCCCAGGCGAGTCCCAGGCTCCGCGTAGAAGACAGCGAGGGAGTAGGGTGGTGGCGCGGGCTTGTGCCGTTCCCACACGATTGCAGAGAATAGCCCCCCAGTCCAGGTGCACATACCCATGGCTTCCCGGGAGCCCTCCAGAGCCTGGCAGGTACCGCTGGCAGCTGAGTACTAGGCCGGAGGGAAGGTGGGACGGGCTGTGAGACCGAGGCCAAGGAGGCGGAGAGCGAGCTGATAGGTTGGGCTCCAGGTGTTGGGAGTGGGTGTGAGAGGGGGCGGCCCTGCTCAACAAGTTGAGCCCCCAACCCACGGGAGAGAGCTCCAGGGTCACAGGCCCGTGCTGGGGTCACAGATCCTCAGATTCTTCCTCACCCACCAAAATCGGAATCTAGCTGCTTCCTCTGCTCCTAGCCTTGGCCCTGAGGCTCCCACCCACCACTGACAGGGCCCATCCCAGGCCCATCCTCTTGGCTCGTTAAGTTTTTAGCTGCAGGGGAAGGGGTGGGGAAAGGCACATACCTGGGTGGGGCCCCCAGCAGGCAGTGACTGCTCTAAGCTAGGCCTTGTATGTAGGTGGCGCCTACTCCGGGTTCACACAAAACTATTGTGCATGTACTTCCGGAAATCTTCACACACAAAACTATTGTGTGTGTACTTCAAATCTCCACTCTCTCCCCCCAGCCTGGTCCCCACCCCAAACCCACCCCCAACCACCGCCCAGAGGAAGGAAAGGGCAAAGACAAAACCCCCTGCTTTTGGGGACCCTAGGACCTAGTTTGGTTTTAGAAAACACCTCCAGCTTCTCCTTGTGGGGAAGGCAGGAAGAACTGCACTTTTATCTGCCTTACAGTCAGCTCAGAGGTGGCCAGAGTCTGAAGGTTAGGGCCCACTTAAAGCCAGTCCCACGCGGCCTGGGCAGGTAGTCTTCCTGCTCAGTGAACAGGAAAGGCTGAGTCTGTTAACTACACCCCTTGACCTCTGCCCCAACACAGAGCAAGCCAAAGTCCTTGCCCATGACACCATAGTGCAAAAACCTGGTTCTCCTAGGGTGTCCAAGGTGCAGGATGAAGGAAAATCAGGGGGTCCAAGTGGGGAGTTACTGCTGGGCAGAGGAGATGCTGCAGTTGCCTCCTAGGGACAGCTGAAGTGGGGGGGGGGCTCCTGGGGACAGGGCTAAGCAGAAGTCTAGGTACAGCCCCCACACCTGCCTTATCTGCTTCAGGTTTCCTGAAACTGCTGTGGCTGGCATCTACCATCCCCACCCCAACACACACACACACACACACACACACTCCAGGGTAACAATGAACACAAGCCATTTACATCTGCCACTTCATTTATTGTTTTTATTTGCAGGAGGAGTTGAAACAAATTTTAAGGATGTTTTTCATTTTTCCCCCTAAACATGAATCATCCAAGTAAAACCAACTTAACTATAGAAATGTAGCAAATAAGAGGAAAGTAGCACAACAACCCAAGAGGCAAAGGCAGGGGAAGAGGTGGGTGCAGTCCGCATATAACATATGCATAAATGCCATATGACTCACCTGCTCAGGACCGCCTCCCCAGAAGGCAAGCACAGGACCCATTTTAAGAGGATGCTCTCCCCCCAAATATCTGAGAATGTTTCAACTTAAAGCTTAAGGTTAAAAAGAGAAAGGGGAAAAAAAACTAACCAAAAACACACACCAAAAAAACCCCACGAACCACCCAGCCATAACCACCTTCCTTAATCGATCATAGGAGTTTCTTTTCATTTTATAAAAAGATTACTAAAAATATTGAAAAAATTATTTTCTCATCTTATATTTGTAAAGATAATAGAATTCAGAAGTTTCTTAGAAAACAGACCAGAAACTGCCCTCCAGTTTCCACCCGTTGCTGAGAGGATCAGCAGGACTAGAAAGTTTAGTAACTGGGGCTGCTGGTGGAGAATGGGAAGCCCAGCACGGAAGAAATCAGAAAGTTCAGGAGCAGGGTGTGGGGTGTGGCCAGGAGCAACTCCGTGCGAACATGGCTGCGCAGAAAAGGGGAACACTAGGTGGTCAGACAGGCCTTAAACTCCTCCTTGACATACAAAACCAGTTTTTATAAAGATCCAAGCAGTTTGGTCCCAAACTGAGGTGAACACTTCAATATTTATTCACATGCTTTGTTTTTTTAAGAATCAAAGTTGCCCAAATTAAATCTTTCTGCTATTACTACATATGCCTAAAAAGAAAAGAAAGGGCTTTTAAAATCAGGACAGGGCAGAAGAGACTGAGAATCAATCAGTCCTCTTAGCCTCAAATGAAATGAAATAAGAACAAAACTGTTGGCTTCTAATAGGAAACAAACCAAAATCCAAGCATTGCTCTCCCTCCCTACCCCAGCCCCCACCCACACCCCCACAACAAATGAGAAACACAGCTGCAGCCCAGTGTGTTGTGTTCTCTTGAGAGCAGGGCTTGCCCCCAGGCTCTGTGGCCAGCCCCTCTGTCCAGTGGGACGCAGCGTCAGGGATGCTTTGCACTGCAGCAGGATTCCGCGTGGCTGGTTAAGGGGTGGGGGTGGGATTTTCAGAATCTTCTTGAGGCTCCTGTTTTAACTCCTCACCAGCCATCTTCCCAGTGCCGCTCTCCCCTGGACAAGGGCTCTCTCTCCAAGAGCAGCCCCTACTCGGTTGTGGGCTGTAAATTGTCCTTCTCTTCTCGGTTCTCTGTCCCACTCTCGTCGTCTTCGATCTCCCCTTCCTCCCCACTGAACTTGTCATGGGCCCATTTGGGGCTGGTACTCGATTTCCGGAACATGAACCGGCCCCGGCCCCGGGGAAAGGCTCCTCGGCCCCGGCCCCGGCTCACCCACTTGTCACTGCCTTCGCCTTCCCGGTCATCATGCTGAGAGGAAAGAAGATTGCCATCAGTGTCAGGGCAGCCACCCGAATGTTCCCTTCCCAGAATAACCTGGGCCCAAACCCAACCTTTTCCTCTTTTCTGTCCTCACTGCTGTTGCTCTCCTCCAAAATTGCCACTGGTTCAGGTCTAAGGGCGTACCAGCTCCGTGCACTAGGAACTCTCTCCTAAGGGAGAAGCTTGGGCCTAACGAGAAAACATTCACCTAGCACTAAAGCAGTATCTCACTGAATCCTCCCCTCTACCCGACCTATCACGTCCCACTAAGCAAATGAGGGAACACAGTTAAGTACCATAAGGAACTTCCCATATTAATTAGTACATGGCCTCTGAAAGGAGGGGTCTGAGAAAGCCTATCACGTGAAAATGTGGAACTGTGTGAACTGGGTGGTGCTTAGGCAGCTGGAAGAGCATCATTCAGAACACAGCAGGGATTCCAGCTCTTCCCAGCACTCTACCCACCCTCCACCCATCTTGTCTCTCCCCTCTTGAGTTTTTCATGCGAGGAGTGTGTTGGCAAAGGGAAAACACTTACTATATATATCTCAAAAAGCCCTGCTATGATGATTTCATGAAACAAAGGATCCAATGAAAGAATGACAGCATTCTGGAAATCATACATTACCTCTACTGTCCTACTGCTTCAAAGAGTTTAAACCACCCACCCAACAAGCTAGAGCCTCAGGCTTGCAGAGCTCAGCTTAACCACACACAGCAATCAGGCTGGCAAGGCTTGTTCAGGTGGCAGACAGGGGAGAGGAGAAGGACTTTACATCGCTCCCACTCGGGCACTACCCTCGGCCCTGCCATGTACATTTCCCTAGAGACAGGCTCAAGGGTCCTCTAAAAGCCTCAAAGCAGTTTCCCGTAGCCCTAGAGAAGTGAGGGTGACCCTGCACAGTGATAACAAACCTGTTTCCTAGCTGTGCAACTGACCGTGCAGACCCATGCCAACCATTCTACTGGGGATGAAGATTGAGCTGCAAGTTGACCTTGGCTGCAACGCTCAGACACACACCTGCTGGAGTCTGAGCCTGCTATTGACAGCAAAGCCAAGAGCTCACTGACTGGCTTGGTATCCAGCCTAGAAAAAACCCCAACCAGAGAGAGGCCCAGAAGCTCATGGGAATGATCAACAGCTTAGATCAGAGAAGCTCCAGGGCATTTCACGCTGGAGGCGGATCTCTTTCCTTAAGGAGATCCCGAGTTGTCTTTCCTGTCAATCTCGCCCTGGGGAGTGACACAGTAGAACTCCGGCATCAGGGGAGGGTGTGATGGCTCTATCACAGCAGGGAGGCTGAAGATAGGGGTAGGTGAGCAGTAAAATCAGTTCACAAACTAAAAAGGCAAGAGCAACACTCCTTGCTTATCCTAGATTCCAAAAAACATCTTAGATGATAAACTCTTTTGAGAACAGCACAGTCTCTAGAGAATACTCATGTAGCAAACACTATTGTCCAAAAAGTGCACATACCCCAGTGCAGTATGTCTGCACATTTAATCACAGGGACCGGCACTGTGATGCACTGGGTTAAGCTGCTGCCTGTAGCATCTGTGTCCCATATGGGTGCTGGTTCAAGTCCCAGTTGCTCCACTCCTGATCCAGCTCCATTCTAATGTGCCTGGGTAAGCAGTGGAAGACAGCCCAAGCATTTGGGGTCCTGCAAACTCATGAGAGACCCAGAAGCAGCTCCTGGCTCCTGCAGCCATTTGGAGAGTGAACCAGAGGATGTAAGATCTAACTCTGCCTTTCAAATAAATAAAGTTTAAGAAAGTAATCACAGTTTTGGACCAACTAAGGCCTTGGTATCAGTTACTGTATGTGCCCAAGGCTCTCTAGCCCTTCCTGGTTATCCCCAGACACATACCAAGTAATACTTCTTGCTTTTGGGTGTGTACTCTGGGTCCCATTCCTCTTCCCGGTTTCTCTTTTGGAAATCATTGTTGCTGCTGTTGTTGTTGTTACCAGAGTAGTTGCCTCTGCCCCAGCCTCTGCCTCTGGCTCGAAATGGCTGTGGCAATAAATGGGGGAAAGCAACAAAGGACATCAGAAATGGCAAAACAACTGCCTGCATTCTGTTCAAGTATGTTTCTGGCACAGGACAACTGCTCTGCAGTCAGGGCATGTCAGTTGGTTTCTAGCCTGTTTCTGTTCATCTCAAATCCACAGCCTAGACAAAGACAAATATGGTCCAAGGATCTCCCTACGAACTGAAGGACTCAGGTTAATGGGGAACTTCTGAAACCAGAAGCCATTAGAAGCTTTCTGGCTAAGTGATAATGAACAAAAAAGTAACTAAACACGGGAAGTCTTGAGGGATGAGGCAGGGGCCTATCAACTACATTACTTACAGTAAAGGCAACAGAACTGGCATTCTGATGAAACAACCAGAACTGGCAGGACCAAGGGGCACAGAGAAAGGGGAAGGGTCTTACAAAGGCTCCTCGAGCTCTGCCGCCGCCTCTTTCACTTGGACCCACAAAGTCTTTGGTCCCCAGTCTGGACTTGTCAAAGCCTGTGGTGCTTTCCTCTCTCTCCTCTGTCTCCTCGGTGTACTCTTCTGCTTTGTAGGAGTGA